TCAGTATTTATTCAGTAGCCAGTATTCCCTGACGATCCGTGTAGGTGAAACCTTGGTAGGTTTGTCTGGCTCTTTCGGTTTAATTATATATATATATATATATATATATATAAGGCAGGATGTGTGTGTGTAACGAATGCACGGCCTCAATTTTCGACGGATTTGCACCAAAATTTACATGCACATGCTCCAAGTTAGCGGGAGGGCCAAGACCGACTTTGCATTTCCCAACTCCCATCGGTAGTGGAAATAATCGATTTTTTCATGCTCCTACGGCAGTTTTCCTGTAGTTTGCGGCCATTTTCTACTGGCCAGAGTGAGAGCCAATAGCTGGCTGCCACGAATAGGCAGGAAGATTCTATTGGCCTGCGTGAGAGCCAACAGCTGACTGACACGAATGTTAACTAGTATGCTAGCATGCAAAAAAAAATCGATAGCTGCATTCGTCACAAGTGGGAAAATTTATATCTGCATGGCACTTTACTCCAATTGGCTCATTCGCTTGCTTAAACTCAACATTGATTCTGATTCCGCAGAACTGGGTTGGGTGTAAAAATGTATTTGTTGTTAACATTCTTTTATCATTCGTTTTTTCCAGTTACGAGTTCTTTTTTTAAAGCTTATCGTTTTGTGTTCATTTTGTTTAGTTCTTTTTCCGTAATAGATTTAATGTTTAGTATAGAGCTTAGAAAAAAATCGCAGTGTGAAATAGGCAAGAAGTAAGGCATGTAGCAACATCAGCACGGCAAAGGGCATTCCTTTAAAGGCAAGTGATAGCGATTGCTGTATGTGTCGTATGATTTTTGAATCAAGCACGGGCAACGCCGGGCCATGCTGCTAGTATATATATATATTTCCAAGAGGATAGAATCCAGGTGGAGCTCAATGTACAAGACAGAACAAGAAGATAATATAAAAAGCTCAAACACTAATATTCCATGGTTATAATTTATTACATTGGAATCGTAATCACAAACCAATTCTTTAGACCTAAAAATTCCAAAAGAAAACAGAATATATAACTTCGGGTATAAGAAACAAAATTTCCCTCCCACACATACACTCTCACTGGAATTTTTATTTGTTATTATATATATATATATATATATATATATATGGGTGAATAAGTTCTGAACTTCTGAACCTTTAGTTTTAATTACGTGCGTAAATATGTAAGGGTAATTAATGAGCAGAAAAGGATGAAAAAAATTGCCAGCTGTCAGTTTTCGAAGCCTGTGGAAAAATGAATAGAATTATTCTTGTTCTTCAACTAATGATTTCAACTCAATATTTGCTGTTGGGGAATCTGTATGATTAAAAGGCTTAAGACTTTTTCGTTACAGGTTAATGAATTTGTCAGGAGTGGATAAACCAACCCATGCACGGAGACTCAGAAAGGAGAAGATTTCGGTATACTAAGGCTGTAGTGTATATTAACGCCTTCCCCGGCGTAGACGTGTATATACGTATTTACCGAAAGCGTCTTTTCCAGACACGGACGAATAAAAACGTCCAAATAACGTTAAAAAAGCCAGCTACAGACGTGTATATACGTCGATCATAATTTTTTTTTCCCCTCTGAGCTTGAAACGAGTCGAATTATCATCTCAAGTACAACTTGGGTACTTCAAGGTGCCTCAGTTTCTTAGTACAGGGCTACAACCTCCCTATGTTTGTAAAATAGTAGATTGTTCGGAAAATAATGTTCGATTTTAGAATAGTTTTTTTTAATTGGATTGGTACATCCGTTTTTTCATTACAAGACAAAACAACTTACGCTATTTACATTATTCGGACTCTTATCCTCATCTTCATTGACATATTTACAACGTTTCGGCTGTTGCGCCCTCCGGCCTTCTTCAGGTGATTGGAATTTTCGAATCGAACTCTTTATTTCGTCCACCGGGGTAGAATGCTCTAGATCCACATGGAGTTCTGAGTTAAAGGGAAATAACTGAGACATCCAGAAGAGGCATGGCACGTGGATCTAGAATAATCTACTCTTTGTGGACGAAATAAAGGGTTCGGTGAGAAAACTTCAATCCACTGAAGAAGACCGGAGCGTTCAACGGCCGAAACGTTGTGAATATAGCAATGAAGATGAGGATAACAGTTCAAATAATGTAAATAATGTAAGTAATTATCATACCTGATCTCAGAGATATAGACAGATATTGAAGACAAGGAACGTTTTTACAAAAACTTATGATTTTTGTAGATTTATATATACATATACTTGAAAAAACTTGAAGAAGACAGAAATTCTGTTGAAATATTGTTTAACATTGTCAAACGGTTTGCTATTTTTCTTTTCTTAAATCATGCTCTTGTCTTCTCTTCTTTTTATGTGCCATGTCCTTTCAGGATGTAGGCGATCATGGCTCTCCACCTCCTTCTATCCCTTGCAGCTCTCAACAAGTTCCTTGCCTCTGCTTCCTCCCCCAGACCATGTTCTGTCAACCACTTGCTTCAGTCCGCCAGGTATGTTACGCATTGCTTTCCCTTGTCTCTCTTTCCCTCTATTCGACCCGTGAGTATCAGATTCTCCAGGCCCTCCTTCCTCATTATGTATCCCAGAAACTTCAGCTGCCTCTTCATGATGTTAAGTATAAGCCTCCTCCTTGTTTGAAAACCTCTCTACGAGCTCATCGTTGCTCACACGCTCGGTCCATGATATCCTCAGCATCCTTCTGTAGAACAACATCTCTGTCGCCTCGAGTCTCTTCTTCATCTTTGAGGAAATCGTCCAACATTCGCTGCCGTAAAGAAGAACAGATGTCATGTAACAGCTCAGTATTCTTTTCTTTGTTACCAAAGAAATCCTCCTGTCTCGCAATACTCTGCCCAACTTTTGAAATGTGTCCTTGGCCATCCCAATACGTCTACAGATATCAGTGTCGCATTTACCGTTCTCTGTGAAAACGCTTCCCAGATATTTAAACTTCTGCGTCTGCTTGATTCTAGTGTCCCCGACCTGCAAATCGCATTTCGGGCTCATCCTTTAAACTGATGACCATGCATTCTGTCTTCTTGTAGTTTATGCTTAGTCCTTTCTTCTCACTCTCCGTCGCTACCTTCTGTAGTAGATTTTGTAATTTCTTTTCCGTGTCTGCTATCAGTACTGTGTCATCTGCGTATCTTATGGTGTTAAGATTGTGACCGCCAATGCTAAATCCCGGTAGAGTTTCCAATTCTTTCAGAATTGCCGCGCTGTATAGGTTGAACAGGTTGGGTGAGAAGACGCATCCTTGTCTCATGCCCCTTTCTATTTGTGTATATTCACTAAACTCGTTCCCTATGAGCACGCATGCTGTTGGCTGCCAGTATAGGTTCTTGATTAATTCTGATACCCTTTCCCGAATATATCAAGGTTGCTGAGCAGTTCCATCAGATCGTTGTGGCTCTTCTCTTAACTGTTGAAAAATATTGGAAGAGTAACATCAAGCATTTTGTTTATTATTATTATTATTATTGTTATTATCATCATCATCATCATTATTATTATCATTATTATTATTATTATCATCATTATCAACATTATTAACATTGTTATTATTATTATTATCATTATCATTATTATTATCATTATTGATATTATCATTATTATTCTTATCATTATTATTATCATTATTATTCTTATTATCATTTTATTATCATTATTATTGTTATTATTTTTCTTATTATTATCATCATTATCATTATTATTATTATCATTATTATTATCATTTTATTATCATTATTATTGTTATTATTTTTTTCTTCTTATTATTATTATTATCATTTTTTTTATTTTCTTTGATTTCTGGCGTTTACACATTTCTTTCCGTGTCCCGCCCAGGGACCTAAGGTTAGAAATGGCGTCATGACACTTTTCACTGACAAAAAAAAAAAAAAGAATTAAATTACATAGATAAAGCCCTTCGTAATGTGTGGGCTGTACTTGTCAGAAGAATTTGTTGTATCTCCTTGAGGCATGGACTTCCAGGAATCCCTTCAATTAGTCTACTGCAATCTTTTCCAACCAGTCCTAGGGCTCCAACTACAACAGGGATTGTTGATGTTCCCATATGCCACATTTTCGAGATTTCTATTTCAAGGTCCTTGTACTTTGACAGCTTTTTGAATATCTTCAAAGATACATTGCAGTCAGCAGGGACTGCCATATCAATAAGGAGGCACCGTTTTTGTTTGTGGTCTTTAATAACAATATCTGGCCGGTTGGCCTTGATTGTTCTGTCAGTGTGTATTGTGTAGTCCCATAGAATTGTAACAGGTCCTAACTCCGTAACCGGGTCTGGGTGGTGTTCATACCAGTTTCTTTCAGTTTTCTTCCTGTAGAAGTTGCAGATTTTCCAGTGCAGATATTGGCCCACTCTGTCCTGCCGGGTTTTATATTCAGTGGGTGTCAATATCGTGCAACCTGATACAAGATGATCAATCGTTTCTGGATATTTATCACAGAATCTGGATTTGGGGCTGACACAATATTTTAGTATATGTGCTTGATAATTATTATAGTTATTATTTTTCTTATTATTATCATTATTATTATCAATATTATTATTATCATTATTGTTATTATTATTCTTATTATCATTATTATTATTATCAATATTATTATTATCATTATTTTTATTATAATTATTATCATTATTATTATTATCATTTTTATTATCATTATTATTGTTATTTTTGTTCTTATTATTATTATTATTATTATATAAAGTGAGAGATTAGCGCTTAGGAGAGAATGACTGAAAATTAGTTTAAAATCCCAACTGTAGATGAGGCTTATTTTCATCGACTACAGCTTGCCTTCTTGCCTGGAAGACCTGCTTTTCCAAAAGAATCTTTTTAATCGCCATTCGAATCTTTTGATGTTTTTGGGTGGCTTCCGATTCTATTTCTCTATTATTGCATCGAGTTTGTAGTGTATAACTAAACCCAGTTAAAGAACAGCAACTAATCCCGGACTCTATTAAGAGACTAACGAAGAGAAAATGGACACTCAACATCCGGGAAGCAAGAAGCATAAACCAACCACTATCGATCTCGTAAACTCGCTGATTTCACGGCCAGGGATCGTTATCAAAGCACAGCTGAGGGACCAAAGAATACAATTAGTGTACCTAAAAAGTACACTCTGATATTGATTGTTCATGTGTGCCGTTAGTTTCAGATCTTGTGCTCCGATTTTTATTTCATCCATATATTTAGTTAATATAAATATATACTCAACATAGCAGGTATGAATTGCCGGTTTGTTTGTTTTTTAAACATTTCATTTTTATAAATATAAATGACAATAGGAAAACTGTAACAGTTGCCAACGCGTTTCGTCCATTGTGGACTTTCTCAAGGCAAAAAAAACTTAATGAATTTATTTAAACAAAGTAACTGATAATAACAAAAGCAAAATCGTGAAATCAAAAGAAAATGGTTGAATCACAACAACACAGCAATAATAACAATATCTGCACACGTGATAGTAATTGACGTAATTTTCAGTTAGCAGTATGAAAAATGGCGTTCTCTAAATTCTTCCAGTTGCTAAGAACATTTTGCTTTTGTTAATATATTATTATATTTGTAAATATTGCCTTTTCTACAGGTTAAGTCTGAGAAATTTTCACATTTCATTTTCTAAAGCTGAATTTGGATGAGGTCATATGTAGAGCTTATGCAGTGTTTAGATAGTAATGATTTAAGTGATTGATTGTTTTGGTGGTACGGTAGATATGGAAATTTATAAGACTTGTAGTGAGTATGAGGTTGATGGCTTGTGCCTGGAGTGTCTGTGGTACCAACTACTATTGAGTTCATATTTATTTGCGTCTATTTCCGGTTTTTTAGTCATATTTTTTATATCATATAAACTCACTTCCGGCATCCAAAAGAACGTTGGATACGTTTTTTGTCTTGAGCGAATTTAATCATTTTTTTTTCGATTCGGCCTCGAGTTCTGTCTTTTCTGATCGACTACTTCCGGTATTTTCATCCCACGTTTATCACTACAATCAATTGAATTTTTGGAATTTGGATCCGTGTCGTGTGCAAATCTCGGAGAAAGGTACTGTTTTTCTATGTCACCTCGTTCCTGCTGGGGAGGGAACGACAATATCGAATCAGGTACAATAGCCTCAGATAGACCTATAGTGGATTCAGTTGGAAATAAAATACGAAAATCGGAACATATTCTACCATAACCAGTGTCCAGTGATTCAACTGAAGGGGTTGAATCAGGAGTCTGTAAATTCCCTAGCCCAAACACTGCAAAAATTCCTCTAAAAATTCCTCTGAAGCGCTCCCAGCTTATCGCCATAGAACAAAAACTTTCGAACACAAAACAAAACAAAACAAAAAAAAAATGTTTAAGTTTTATGGGGTGAATTTCTTTTCTTCTTTTGTCGAAATAAAATTGCAAATTTACATTGACAAATAAATAAATAAATAAATGTGGAGGCGAAAGTTGTATTCATATGCAAAACTCTACCATATAAACAGCAGTTAATACAGCTGGAGGCTAAACTAATCCTAACCTTGAAGACGAAACTACTTGAGAAATAGTAGTGAATACTTTTAATTCATTATAGTTTACAACATTCTATTCACTACAATTATTGTTAAATAAAAACGAAGTATATGTTGTATTCATATGCAAAACTCTACCATATAACTAGCAGTTGATACAGCTGGAGGCGAAATTAATCCTAGCCTTGTCTTCTAAAAGCAAAGTGTTAAGAAAAAATAAAATTCCGTTTAGAAACCAAGAAAAAAGTAGTGGACTCATATACGGCAGTGAATGCTGGGCAATCTCCTCCCAGATGAAGAAGAGATTTGAAGCAACAAAAATGTGGTTCTACAGAAAGATGCTGAGAATGTCATGAACCAAAAATGTGAGGAACAACGACAATAAAGTGGGAACTAAAAGGACACTTATACTTAATACCAGAAAGAAACAGTTGACGTTATTAGGGCGAATATATACCGGCTGTAACAGCAAAATTTTCCAATTGTTAGATTAAGCTTTGAAACTTTGAATCTTAGAAATGATTAAAGATATCTTACTGGAATTCCCCGATATTTTCATAGCACTATTGGACTCTACTATGAGCAATAATCATGTATAATTTCTCTCCAAGCTTAAGAGAAGAAGCGTGATGAAATCCATCCTAAAGGAAAATAGCATATTTAGTAATTAATCATAGCTAAGGATCGGAAGCTCATGAAAGATTGATATTAAGTTCAAATATATATATATATATATATATATATATATATATATATATATTATTCCAAGATCATTTTTAAGTTCAAATATATATATATATATATATATATATATATATATATATATATATATATATATATATACGAACATTTCTCCGATTTAACCAGTAGAGAAGACAATATTTATGAAGAAAAAATGACAATAGGAAAACTAATAATTGCTGACGCGTTTCGTCCAATGTGGACTTTATCAAAGCAAAATACTAAATGAATATAATTTAAGAAGGTAACTAATAAAAATATAATATAATAAAAGATATAATGACAATATTCTCCACACGTGACAAATACTGACGTTATTTTCAGTTAACAATATGAAAATAGCGTTTCTCTACATTCCATTTGCTAGTAATATTCTGTTTTTGTTTTTATTAGTTACCTTGTTAAATTATATTCATTTCGTATTTTGCTTTGATAATGTCCACATTGGACGAAATGCGTCAGCAATTACTAGTTTTCCTATTGTCATATATATATATATATATATATATATATATATATATATATATATATATATTCCAAGATCTACCCTTCTAACTTTGTGTCCCAGAGTAAGAAGATGCCTCAGACGTTTCACGTAGGATTCCATTTTACAAGTCTTTTTTCACTGCACTTTTGACTGTCATAGCTGAAACTTCTCTCTCACGTTCCAAACGTCTTATAGACTGAATTGGATCTTTTCTAATTGATCTCCTTAGTTCTAAGTTGAAATGATGATCCCTCTTCCAGTTGTGGCCTCCTGATACAATTTTCTACTGTTCCAATTTTATTTTAAACTTATTCACCGTTCTTTTGACGGTTCTTCAATGGATATTCAAGATGGAAGCCAGCGTGTGAATGCGGGTACTATTACCGAAGGCCTGAATGATCATTTTCCTCTCACCATTGCTCTGTTGATAAGTCAGTGGGGCTCACGTAAAACGAGTTTAACCTGTTCCCTTTCTAGCTGAATAACTCAAAGGCTTTTTTTCAGTGATTCTTACGGCAAATGGCAGCAAGATGGCGATGCTTCTCATCTGAAAACCTGGATAAAAGAGACAATTAGTTTAGTGTATTTTAGATATTAAATATTTAGTTGGGATGGACAATTCTGCTGTAAGACGATTTGGACAATTTTACAGTTACACATGGTATAATATATATATATATATATATATATATATATATATATATATATATATATATTGTATTGTACTGGGTATCTTCGTTCTCAGTTTTGAGTTGTTCATCACCTGATTGCAATTCTTCATTAATTTCCCCCCTGGCTAAAATTCCTCCTTTTAAATTTGACATTCTTTCCAAGGAACCAAGTGCTTTCCATCTGTGAGCCATTACTCAACATTTTCTTCCTCTTCTTTCTTCCTCTTCTTTCCTAGTCGCCATTATTTTCTCTTTCTTCCTCCTCCAATACGTTATCCCTCCTCCTCTCACTTTCTCTTAATATTTTTTTACATCCCTCTCTTCTGCTTACGTCTATTTATTCCTTTTCTATCTTGATTCCCGTCTATCTTCCTCTGCACCTCTCCTCTCTGCCCTTCTTTCTTTCTTTCTTTCTTTCTTTCTTTCTTTCTTTCTTTCTTTCTTTCTTTCACCCCTATCGTTCCTAGCTTGTATTTCATAGCATCTTTCTTACCTGTCTCCTTGTTCTTCCTTTCACCTTCTCTCTCATTATCTCTCCTTTTCTTTCTTTCACCTCTTCTTCTTCTTCCTTGTATCTTTCTTTCTTCCATTCTTTCTTTATTTATATCTTTCTTTCTTTCTTTTTTATCCCCCCTCCCTATTTCACCCTGTCCTATCTTCTATTTTACAGCAACGTTCTTCCCTGTGTCTTTTCTTTCTTCCTCCAACTGTCTTTCCTTCTATCTCACTTTTTCTTCCTTTTTTCTTTTCTTTTTTTTCTTCCTTTTCCCTCCTACCTCACTCTCTCTTGTATTTCACTATCCTCTCTTCTGTTTTATCTCTTTTTTCTTTCTTTTTCCTGTTTTTTCTTTCTTTTTTTCTCCATCCTACCCCATTCCCTCCTAGCTTGTATTTCACAACAACTTTCTTCCATAAGTCTCCTTCTCTCTCTTCATCTCACCTTCTTCTTCGCTTCTTTCTGTCTATCTCTTCTCTTTACACTATTTCTATTCAAATACCCTTGAACAAGCATACGGCTTTACAAGTATTGTGGAGCCGTGAAGAAATTTCACTTTATCCTCTTGTTGACGCCGTTAGCGCATGCAAACATCCATCTACTTGCGTCATAGAAAATATTCGAAAATCGACAATAACTTAAAAAATAAATAAGAATTTACTCTGTTAAAAGAAACATCTTCTGCAACGTAACGCCAGTGTTATAATGTAAGCGAATTTTGCCTCGAAACCTGTTTCATCAAGAACAACGCAATGTTCCTGTTCCATATAAACAAACACGTTGCACTTTAGGCTTGCAAAAATCAGACAAATCCCAGCCAGTCCTAAGAATCAGGTTTACCGCCAATGCGTTGTAATACCAAAACACTGACAAAGATTCTAGCACGTCTGATCGACGTTAGCGCTGTAGAAGGTTAACTTTCAACTCAGAGCTACTTGTCCCACCTAGCCCAGGAGAGTGCAACACATGTAACTTCACCCTGCGTTAGTCATCTCGGATTTCTGAAAATGGATGTCCCCTGACGTCTATCTCTGACAGCAAATTGAGCTACAACTGCGCCACACCGCGTGCTATACACACTCACTGAGACAGGGGTATAGTGGGAGGGAGCAAAAAGCAAACAGCTAACTAGGAATTACGAGTACTTTCAAAATTAGGGGGGTTAACAAAAAACCATGTGGCTAACACAGGTTGAAAGAGGATATATATGCGTTGTCTTCAGAAATGCAATAATAGGACTGGTTAAAACACTGAATTCAACTCTCAAAGTAGGCCCGAGTATCACTCAAGGTAGAAGGTTAATAAATACTGAAAACAACTCCTAAAATAGGTCCAAGAATCGTTCAATCGGTAGAGGGTTACTAAATACTGAACTCAACACATGGATAGGCCAAAGAATCGCTGAAAATAGATGGTTACTAAATACTGAACTCAACTTTTAAGAAAGGGCCAACAATTACTTAAAGTAGAGGGTTACAAAATACTGAACTCAATTCTTAAAATAGGCCCAGAATCATTCAAGAGTGATGGTTACTAAATAATGAACTCTTATAATAGACCCTAGAAGCACTAAAGGTAGGGAGTTACTAAATACTGAACTCAACTCTTAAAATAGGCCCAGAATCAATCAAGGGTGATGGTTATTAATACTGGCCACAACTCTTAAAATAGGCCCAAGACTCGTTGAAAGGAGAGGGTTACTAAATACTGAACCCAACCCATAAATAGGCCCAAGAATTACTCAAGGTAGAGGGTTGCTAAATACTGAACACAACTTTTAAGAAAGACGCAAGAATTACTTAAGTGAGAGGGTTACTAAATATTGAACTCAACTCTTAAAATAGGCCCAGAATCACAAAAGTTATAGGGTTACTAAATGCTGAACTCTTATAATAGGCCCTAGAAGCGCTCAAGGTAGAGGGTTAATAAATACTGAACTCAACACTTAAGATAGGCCAAAGAATCACTCCAGGTAGAGGGTTACTGAAAACTGAATTCGACTCTTAAAATAGGCCCAAGAATCACTCAAAGTAGAGAGTTACTAAATATTGAAATTAACTCATGAATAGGTCCAAGAATCACTCAAAGTAGAGAGTTACTAAATACTGAAATTAACTCATAAATAGGTCCAAGAATCAGTAAAAGTAGAATGAAACTAAGTACTGAACTCAACTCTTAAAGTAGGCCCAAGAATCACTCAAGGTAGAGGGTTACGAAATACTGAACCCAACTCTTAAACTAGGCCTAAGGATTACTCAAGGGAGTGGGTTAATAAATATTGAACTCAACTCCTAAAATACGCCCAAGAATCACTCAACATAGAGGGTTAATAAATACTGGACTCAACTCTTAATGTGAAAAGCTTGTTAGTCATTACATCACTTCGAAGTGCACTAATGATTTACTATGCGTAGCATGGATGTGGTATATGGCCTAAAATATGTGGCACTCAGTGATGTTTGCTTCGTTTTACTGCATATCAACCTCAATGGCTTATTTAATGCCACCAATTTTTTTTTTATTGCTGGTAATCTTTTTACAAAAATGTATTGCTGCTATTAAAACCTTTTTTTTACACTTTCATAGTGTTTTGACTCCAGTTTGGGGGTTAACTATTTTCCCATAGCTGTGACCCTAACACGTGTAATAACCCCGGGTCAGGGTGGACCTGGGAACACCAGCAATTAAGAGGTGGTGCCACGCTCCTCAAACCCTCCTGATAGAAAAGGTCACTGAATGAGGAATGACCAAAACTGAGGTTGGAAATGAAATGATAATCTTTATAACATCAACAAAATACAATACTCGCTAGCGTCCTGCAGTACGTAAACCACTGCTAGTGGTGAACTACACAGACAGCATATTACCTCCATTTACAATAGTGTCCAACTTATTTATGAGGATTGGGACATACCCATTAGTGTTCATATGTACGGTATATAACATCTTCCATGGAAGGAGAGACACGAACAGGCTGAGAAGAAGAAGAACAAGAAGAAGAAGAAGAA